TTTCAAAAAAATTCAATTTCATATTTCAAAAACCCTATTTCATGAAAGTAAAACCAATATAAAAACCCTAATATTCAATTTCTTACTAAATAATTTCAATTACATTCAAAAAGTTCAACAAATAAATTAGAATTAGCCTATAAATTTCATATAATGAACATTCGACATCCATTCCATGAAATTAACAAAAACCCTAATATTCAAAAACACCAAAAAACTTATTGAATGAAATTAACATGCAACTTCAATTGACACAAAATCTTAATCTAACTAACCATAACATACATCAAATCAAGACCCTATAAACCTATTTCATATCAATTAATACACAATCTTTGAAGTTATGAAAGTAATATCAATTAACATCCAATCTTAATCTCAATAACTCTTAACATTTATTAAATTAAGACCCTATAAACCTATTTCATAATTTAAAAAAAAAACAATTTGAAATTTTCAAACCTAGTTTAACACCCAAATTAAAAACTCAATTTGAAAACAAATTAGCCTCTAAATTTCCCAAAATGAACACTCAATAATCATCAACCCAACATCCGTTTCTTGTGATTAAAAAAAACCCCTATCCTTGTGGTAAGCTTATTTTGGGGATTCAAAAACTATTGTATCTTAAATAATGTGTTGTCATATTCATGCTTCTTCGACAAACTAAATATGGAGAGTGTCTACCATCAAGTACTTAGTCTAAATGTCGTCTCCTTCAACTTCAATCGTATGTTCTGATTCGTTCTGCCTAAATCTTAAAGTGCTAAGCATTGTAAAAAGTGTATTGTAAATTTTCTTCCAATTTTTTATCTTAGACTCAATCTACTGAATGGCACGCAGATCAATTTTACCAAGCGCATCTGATAGAGATTTTTCCAAGTGGAGATACCCAAATCTGAACACACCATTTTGACATTTTCAACCTTGGTTGCAAATGTCTTTTAGCGCATATAATAGTATCATTTCTTCGGTTGTTGTCCACATTCTTTTAAGGACCTTGTCAAACTGGAACTCCCCCTAAATTATGAGCTTCCAACACTTGTCATTACACCACGACAAACTACGTATTAGCAAATTTGAACAAAATGTACGTTAATTATCCCAAAAAATTTATGCATGCATGAATAAATATTTTTACATAAAGATAAAACATCCTCCAAAACCATAACATCTACCACATGCAGTGAATGCTTAAATAATACGACTTCATCCTCCAAAACCATAACATCTACTACATGCAGTGCATGCTTAAATAATACGACTTCATACATAAAAAAAGAAAAGGTGCAACCAAGATCATATCAGTCGTCTATGGTCGCTAATTTTCATTCCCCCTAGTACCCCTCCACTCATTATACATGTCATTCGCCAATTGATCTCGCCACGCATTCCATACATGAGAACTCAACAATATCAATAATGTTAATATCATTCACATTCTCATCTTCCAGCGGATTTTCATCTAACTCTTCTTCCAATGAATCCACTTCCATCTCCATCTCATTCATAGTAAGATTATGCAACAAGCAACAATGATTTTATTGTGTGTTGAGATAGGGTAAAAGCAATTCATCCCAAGGATAGCCCATCACATTTTTAAAGAATAAAACACCTTTCAATGATATTTCTCACTACAATGTGCTACAGATTGAATACTCGTTGGCATTTTGGGGTGCTACTGCACCATCTGCAAATTCCTTCAAATGGTATCGTTATCCATGAAATGGAGCTAAAAAACTCTCCATTTGTGTATCCCACATCCACGAGATAGTATGTACCTATGAATGTACAAAAGTAGGTAAAAATAATAACTTCACGCCACTAACCCAATAACACAGTATCTCAAAATGGGTTTTAATGTGCTTACCACGATCCACTATCAACACATTTCTCCTTATAATGGCATCTTGTAAAACCCTAAAATCAACAGTAGACTCCTCCCAATCAAGCAATACATATTTGAATTTTATGTCTTGCCCACGAACTTCCAACACATTGGTTGTCATCCACCCCTTCCTATTCATATATCTAGTTTGGTGTAAGAAAGGACACTTTGGCTCTAACATGAGTGTCATCTAGAGCCCCTACACATCCTGTATAATCATCAATTATGATGAATAGAATTAAGTACACATATACATTATATATTTTCATCAAAATGAAAACAATGGCTTTATAAACATCCGACTACCTTAAACTACTTCCACTTCAGATCAATGCTATTATCTGGGATTGGGTCAAGCCTCTTCAGTAATAGTCGCCTCAACTTTAAAATTGCTTGAAGAACCGAGTTGAAATGTCTGCTCATCATCTCCTCAACCCTAATGAAGTTGAACCTGCCTAGCCAATTCTTGTCATCATGTCCTATGATACTCGAGAACATCACAACCATCTCTTCAATACGCACATTTTTAGTGTCGATAAGCCCACCTACATCTAACTAAGCAACACAAGACAGTGGAATGAATGTCTATCCATCCTAAGTTGTTCAAAGCAAGTTCTATCATTTCACCTATAAGGAGATGTTCACTTTGTGCGTGAAATCTACCTATTGAACCAGGTAATACCCGCCTCTTTCGTTTTTTATTGGCCCGCAATGCAACCATAACCATCAAAATACATGAACAAACAAAAACAAACTCTTTGACTACACTATTAAGAGCAACAAGCAAAACAACAACTTTATCATGCGTACGAGCCATACTCACTGAAATATTAACAAAATCCTCCAACCTATCAAGGTTGATGCCAAAAAATATCTTTATAACAAAAATATGGTATCAAGGTTTGTTAAAGTTTATAAAATGGGTTGAACCAAATGCGTATGTACACAACCCTAATGCAAAACCACGAGTAATGATCCAAATGCCTCTGTTCATAAACAATGAAGCAACCCCTAGCATAGCAACTTGTGCCGAAGACGTCTTACGTGGAAAACATCAAGTATGTTTATAAAAGGAATTTTTTTCACATTGGGATTGCTTCTAGATAAAACATCACAAATAGTTTCTATGAAATTCAACACCGACAGTTCAAGACACAAGGTAATTTAGACATACTTCAATAGACATTCAGTCAAATACACAGGTAAAGTACAAATGCTTAAAATGTCAACAGTCATTTTATAATCCAAAAAATCATAGTAAAAAAATAAAAGTAAGCTTGGCATTAATGAAGTGTTGCAGCAATCAATTATAGACCTTGTCTACTTCTTGCAAAAGTATGCATGCACACACACGCACTCTCCAGAGAGAGAGGTCCGAATACAAAGAAAATTGTGAAATCAACTGCCTGATCCAAACTATGTAGTGCTAGTAAGAGAGAGGGTCAATAAAATCCAAACATTCATATTTATTTATTTTACAAGCAAATATGTCGAGTTACAATTCAATAACGTCATGTTCGGATCGATCCAAAAAACTTAGGATTCATTAAATAAATTGACATTACTTTCAATCTTTTCACGGTCACAATTTTTTTTTGGAACTTATTTTAACACATATATTGATCAAGCTGGAATAATTTTTAATAACTGACAATATGTAGGAAGCTAAATGTCTAAATGAATATGAAAACTAGCTTTGAGAAATATATTTATCTACCACGAAAAAGTGTCTCATCTTATGAAAATCAAAATGTTATGATCATATTGGTGGAAACATGATACCCAATAGACAACAACAAAGAATTCTCCAATAAATATGAAGTAATTTTCATACATTGCCACAAGTGGTTCATGGTAACAGTTAAACACTTATCTACTTTCCCGTATTGCATGTTCGAAGTTACCATTTTGCATGTTCAAAGTTACATTAAAATGGAATCGAATTATACAGACAAATGAATGGTGTGAGCATGTGAAAAAATTAAAAATTAAGGGGAGAGTAGGTACCATATTAGTACAGTTCATGTTAAGAGTTACCCTAAGGAGAAAATTGAGTCACCCCGAGTCAAGTGTCCTTGTGGAGAAAATTCCTATTTTAGTTTGTTTTCCATGCTTACCGTTGGTGACTTCCTTATGAACTCAATAGGTGGTAACAATGTTTGTTATTCTTTAAAGCTACTTGGCATTATTTGTATGGCTAACAAAAACAACATTGGTGCTAATATTCCTACATAACACCCCACATATTATGATGCTGTCTTGCATATGATGATCCGGTGGCTACAATACTAACGTTATTTGGCTTCGGTTGGTTAGATTACTGGTTAGGCAAACAGAGAAAAGTCCAATAAGTAGGTGCTTACAAGGTTCTTTCTTAAATTTTTTTCCCAATGTGTTATGTTCTTCGGTACTTGTGCATGGTGTGCCCTCAGCTTATTTGCAACTTCACTAGCTATTACAAGGTTCTTTCTTAAATTTTTTTCCAATGTGTTATGTTCTTCAGTACTTGTGCATGGTGTGCCCTCAGCTTATTTGCTAGCTAAAGGAAAAGGGAAAAAGATAAGAGAGAGCTTATATTTCTGTTTGTCTTTTATTTCAGATAGATTATGAGGGAGAACATTGCTGAGCTTTACCAGGCAATGGGGTTTCAGAGATGGCTTGCCAAGACTCACAACATTGAGTACATCTCAAAAGCCATAAATGATAAGAGTGATGGTGATCACACTACTTCAAATCCGATTGATCATTGTTTTCATGAACCCAATGCTGCTAATTCAGATTATATTGCTTGGCTAGTGAGTTCTCGTGATTTCTTATGAAGAGTATATCGTTCAAAACTTCGTGACATGAACAACATATACACAGACAGCACAAAAAATAAGGCTGTACATGATATTTCTGACATATATTCTACACTATTAATAATAATGTTGCACAATTAGCATCCATATTAACCCAACATGAGCATCAAAAAAATACATAAATTGGAAAAAGAAAACTAAAACACAAAAAGTCTTGAAGGAAAAAAAAATGAAGTTGGTGATCACTTCCCACCCACCACCGCCACACCGCTGACGATTTCCCAGCAAAGAATTGGTGAAACATCCCTCCCTCAACCATAACGATGAAACAACCCAACCCCGCTGCCTCTAAGCGAAACCGAAAAATCAAGAAAACCCACCACGAAAACCGAGAAATCAATACATCCTTCACCCACCAGCCCCACCACACAGCCGCCTCCAAAAAAAAAAAAACCGAAAAGGAAACGTGCGAGAGGCAAACACAATCTGAGAAATGTGAACACATGGAAATATGCGTACATAAATTCAATCGGCTGAAGAAGAAGACAACTTACCTCGCCAAGATCCACAATCCACAACGCCGAAGAAGAAAACACTTCTGGTTGAGTAATGAAGTCGGTGAGGGCTTTATATATAGGCGAAAATTCTGGTTTAGCCTTTACTCCAAAGTCCAAACAGACACTTGGGTTGAGTAATGAGAGCAGAATCAAATCTGCGAAATCAGCCGTAACCACTCCATTTCGCCAAGCCAGAGAAGGAGAGCAGAGAAGAGGTGACTTTTCATCTTCACCCAGAGATTCGGCGTCCATTCCAATAGATTGGGTCAAGCGTTGGGGGTTGGGATTGCAAATGGGTCAGGCGTTGGGGGTTGGGATTGCGGATGGGCAGATAGGATAGGATGGTTAGTTAGGGATAGAAAAGACTTTTTATCACCATGTCTTAATTGGGCTGAGTTCAAACTCAACCCAGGGTTTGGTGAAGCCCTGAATTTAACTTCCGGCATCCAAGCATGGGTTATAATACTGAATTAGACTATTTTTAACGGTCTCTGTGTTTTCCGGTCCAAACCCTTATAGCAAACCGGCTACAATAAGAGTTCCCATTTGTTGAGGGAAATGAGTTATGCTTTTGGAAGAGGAATAACCATAGCGATAGAAAAGGTGAGCCTACAAAAAAAAAAAAGGGAATATTTTTGACACAAATACAATACGGATTACAATAACATGATATAAAAATAACAACACTCGAATGATATGATCCGATGCAACACAAATTAACATCCTAAATTTTTAATATAATTAATTATAGTTCTTCAACCATAAATTTTATTGTATATTGAAAATGATTTGTCAGTAATATGTTAACAAACTCTTTGAGTAAAGACAAACATCACTTTAAAAAAAATAATTTAACATTGACTTAAAGTTTATGAGTCCGAATTTGATTAGGTCAAGCCCAACTTAATAAACCAAGAAGGCCCAATCAGAGTTGGGTTAACCTATCCAGAGGGAAGCCAATAAGGAAGTCATGAAGCCAACACCCAACAAGAGATCAATGGGGTGCTGCCCAAAAGGGGTCACCCAAGCCTAGGCACCGCCCATGGCCTGGCACTCATATTCCTCCTTCACTTTAATGCAAGTCTAACCCACTGCAGCTCAAGTCCAAGCTCAGGATTAAGTCCAATCCAGTTCAGGGTCTTCCTCTAACTGAATAAGAACACGAGGGAGAAAACATCAAAATACGAAGATCTAATTCTATAATAATTGTACTTACCAAAATAGTAAAAGTTCTCTCCCTCACGTCACCTCTTCACCGCTTTACTAAGTCTATATAATGTAAGCCCTCTCCACACAGAATGCATGATTTTTAGGCCTCTACACTTTAAGATTCCTACACACACTGATTCTCTCTCCTCACCATTGTAATACTCCCAGAGCATACGAGACTCTATTCATTAATAAAATATCTCAAGCCACCACAACCGTTCCTGAGCGTGGAGTAGGTCACCTAGACCGAACCACTATAAATCTGTGTGTTGCTTTTATTTATTATTTTGCCATTGATTGTCTATTTACTGCTCATTAACTGTGTCTCTTAATATACTCGACTGTTGATTTTGCATAATACCGATTTATGCATCATCAGTTTGACACCGTTTGTGAAAAACGACTAGTTTTCTTACTCTCTTTCAAATCCATGAAAATCACTACCCGACCAATGAGTCAACAACCGGGAAACAACAACCCGGTCCACTAGGAGGAGGCTCCGCCTCTCCTTGTGCCCTCAGAACCATCTGCTACTACGATTGAACAACAGCAACAGCTTTTACAGATTATGCAGCTGCTGGTAAAATAGAACCAACAAATCATTCAGTTAATGCTCACTCAAAGGAGTGTCACCCCATAGCCTATAGGAGGAGCCCCACTCCCTTCAACAGGAGCGGAGCAATAGCGCTTCCCTTTGGGATGTCAGGCAGCCCCTCACCATGGGAGCCCTCGCCAAAATACCCCAAGGCCACACCAGGGCATCCCTCACCCAGTAGTCCCCTTCTCAGCGTGTAGGGAGCTTTCGCGTACCCCCTCTGCACGTACCTACGCAGGAAAACGAAGACGGAGGAAGCCAATATGGAGACCATGAAAGTCAATACCACCACCTGACTGAGGATATCCCCAATTAGTGGGACGAGAAGATTAAAGAGGTGCAAAATTAACTCAGTGATGCCCTCAACGCCATCAAGGTACAGGCGTCGAAGACAGTAGACTACCTGATAAGATACACTGACACACCTTTGTGCTGCTGACATAATCAATTATCCCTTACCCTCGAAGTTCAAGATGCCTACCATTGAGATTTTTGACGACACCAAAGACCCCCTTAACCACCTGGACACCTACAAATTTTTCATGCAACAATACAACGTACCTGAGGAGATTATGTGTAGAGCTTTCCTACCACCCTTAAGGGGTCAACACACCTATGGTTTGCAAAGATCAAGCCCTCCTCAATTCACTCCTTCTGCAAAGATTATTGTGTCCAAAATTGTCTTGTTTTCCTAAAATTTACAAATAGCTTATAAAAGTTAGAACATGGTTTAACAACAAGGTGTAGACAAAAGGACAACAATTGTCATACTCCCGATGAACAGTCACTGCTCCTTAAGTCACAACCACTATAATCATGGCTTTCCCCGTCACCAACTACTACTGGTGTCTCATAGGGGATGAAGCCAAAGAAATTAATAGTGGCCCTCTCATCAAGTGCTCAGTTTTAGGCTTCAAGCAATAAGTAGCATCTAGGTTGGCATTACCTAGGTCGACAATGCCCATGCTAACTATTGCCCATCAGGCTCACTGTCGCTTACCTTCTGCACGCCACCCAAGAAGGACTTCTCCGCTCCTGGCACCAGCCCCCCTCAGCATCCATGCCCAGCGGCACCTATCGCCCTGCGGCATCTAAGCCCAGCACCCTTTGACGTCCGTACCCAGCGTCTATGTCTAGAGCTTTTCAGCGTCTGCGCCTAAAAATGCCCAGATGCCCTAGGCGTTCGCACTCAAGTGCCCAACACCAGACGCCCAGCTCTTCAGCACCTTCCTCGTATTCTCCATCTCTATGGAGCAAGCATCTGCCCTAGTAGTTCTCTCAAGTGTTACTCGAAGACCAGCTTGAAGTTGAGTAACCCTCTCATTCGCTAGCCTCAATTGCTCAGCGGTATCCTCTAATGCCTGTCACTCAAGCCTTAATAGCTTCACGACATTCTCTCATGCCTCCCATGCAAGCTCCGCGGCATCCTATTGTGTCTGCTTCTCAAGCACCAATTGATCTTTAGCAGCTTATATCTCCAGCTTCGCACTCTCTTGCAAGTTGCAAAGAAGCTCGACCTATGACTCTACTCTCACGTAAGTAGTCACCTTGTAAGCCTCTGCTACCGCAGCCATCTCTCGAGTTATATGTAGCTCGGCTTATGACTCTGTTATCGTGCAAGTAATCACTTTGTAAGCCTCTATTACGGCATCCATCTCTCGAATTATATGTAGCTCGACCAACAACTCTGCTTTCGAGAGTACAAGTAGTCACCTTGTAAGCCTCTACCACTGCGAGCATTGCTAAGACTATACGTAGCTCAGCCTCAGCTCATGCGACCCCTTTACGAGACGTCCACAACTCTAACTTTGTTCTCATACAAGCAACCTGTTGCTCTCTCTAAATAATCATGTTAGATATTTTAATGTCGAGATAACATTATTTTTGTCAGGCACACTTTTGAAGCTCAAGTCGTCAGCAGCCGAGTCACTACTAGAACTGGGTGAAGCCATAATTCCCTTAAAAATTGCACCGGAGTCTTAACTCCTACAGTGATACAAGGGCTAACTTTGATACACACAGAAGTCCAAGTCTGGGAAGAAATTGGGGCACCACCGCTCCCAAAAAATAATTTGGCCATCGGACCTCGGCCAAAAAGCACTGGAACATCAATTTTCATCCTTTTAGGAGGAGGGGAAAATAACACCCTATAAGCACAGAGAACCTTCACTCTATCATGACTCTGTCGAGAGGTCCTGAAATCAGAGACAAGGTCAAGAACCGCCCAGTCCCCTCCTAACGCCGTCCAAGCTAGAAAATAGCACCTGGCGCCATCCAACGCCTGGTGCCCAACAGTCATGTCACTTAAAAGCACTGCCTAGTAGCTCCCATACTCGCCCAAGGGGAGTTAGCAGGTGTCACTCAAAAGGAGCCAATGCCCAAGGAGGCAAAGAAAAAAATGAAGAAGGCGGCGCCCAAGGAGGCCAAAAAAAAAAGATGAAGGAGGCCAACGCCCAAAAAAAAAAAAAGAATTGGAAGAAGGGCAAGCCCCCAAGAAGAAAAAACAAAGAAAAAAAATAGAAAGCAATAGGAGGCACCCAAAAAAAAAAAAAATTAGGTAGCGCCCAAGAAGAAGATAAAAAATTTTTGATATTGATAAACTCAGCGAATGAAAAAGCACTTGCTCACTCAGATGGAGATGAAGCATATGCTCACAACCCCTTCCTCTTGCAAAAAGTCAGAAGTTTAGGGCATGGGGGGCAAATGATGAGCCCGAATTTGAGTGGGTCAATCCCAATTTAATAAACCAATAATGCCCAAAAAAAAGCCCAATTAGAGTTGGGTCAACCTATCCAGAGGGAAGTCAACAAGGGAGTCATGAAGCCAATATCCAACAAGGGATCAAGGGGGCATCGCCCAAAAGCGGTCACCTAAGTCTAGGCGCCGTCCATGGCCTGGCCCTCCTGTTCCTCTTGTTCCTTCTTCACTCTAATGCAAGTCCAGCCCACTCCAGCTCAAGTTCAGGCTCAAGATCAAGTCCAATCCAACTTAAGGTCTTCCTCCGATTGAATAGGAGCATAAGGGAGAAAATATCAGAATACGGAGATCTAATTTTATCATAACTGTACTTACCAAAATAGTAGAAATTCTCTCCCTCAAGTCACCTTCTCACCGCCTTACTAAGCCTATATAATGTAAGCCCTCTCTACACAGAAGGTATGATCTTGAAACCTCTACACTTTGAGAACCCTACACACACTATACCTCCCTACACGCAGTGCTTCTCTCTTCTCACCATTGTAATACTCTCGGAGGATATGAGACTTTATTCATCAATAAAATATTTCAGGCCACTGCTACCGTTTCCGAGAGTGGAGTAAGTCACTCGAACCGAACCACTATAAATTTGTGTGTTGCTTTTATTTATTGTTCTGTCATTGATTGTTTATTTACTGCTCATTAACTGTGTCCCTTGATATACTCGACTATTGATTTTATGCAATACTGATTTGTGCATCATCAAAAGTTTCAGTAAATATCACTAGAGCAAGGAAACACCTCTCATACCA